GCCTTCCAAGCCGTTCTTCTGTTGTCCTTTGAAGCTTTCCAATTTGCTGGACACGCAAAGCACAGTCGGAGCGCGGGGCTTTTTGTGCAACCCATTTGTTCGTGTTTTGAAGCGGTTCGCACTACCAAGACCTAAACGAACCCTATCGGATTCAGCCGCTGCCTCCCGCAACTCTAACCGCGCCTTGACCCATGCAGCCACACCGGGTGGCACACCCTTTAGGCCCGATATGTTCGACCGTATCCGCTCATTAAGAGATGGAGAAAAAGCATGAGATGTTAACACGAGCCAGGGAAGCACAAAGCTTAAGGAGACCAAGCCTAAGGAGGAAAGAAAGACAGGTATCAAACTATCAATCGGAAGAGAGCCTGGAAAGGAAGAACAGCAAAAGCGAAGAGAGCGAGGAGAACCCCAAAACTAGACCTCCGCAAAGCCCATAAATGGGCCCGACCTTTAGGCCCATAGCCCAACCAGCAGTGGGCTGTGGGCCTAACCTCTATAGCCCGCCCCAACCCATAGCCCATGAGTGGGGGCCCATGAGGCCCCCAATATAGCCCATTTCTATGCATAACTACGATCTTGGCGCTCATAAAACCGCTGATTAATGCCTGTTTTTTACGCATGTTCCAGTCTGTAAGCCTTTACAAGGCATACATCGGCCCGACGTTTTACCAGGCCTGATCTAGTATTTCAACTCCCAATCCGGGGGTTCAACTCCCCCAAGAATCAAGATCTCAAGATCCAACGGCGACGACATAGTAATTAAGGTCGTAGATGAAGCCAGCTACAGTAGGCACTATAGTTTACCGGCGTCATCCAAAAAACAATCCAATTTCACCAAGTTTTCGTAGTATTCTGGTACTTAGAGAGTTCCAAAGTGTCAACATGTAGAGATATATATCTCATATAATTAGAAGTAGGTGCATGTTTCTGTTGAACTGTAGATTCAAGGGTCAAATCTATGAATTATAGGTTTATAGAGTTGAAATTTATACCAAAAGATAGCCAATCTCTCAGACTTAACGTCTGTCTTCACAGAAACGTAATATTCTGGGGATTACAGAGATGAGAGAGGTTTGAAGATATCTCATGAGCCATGGGGTGAAATGTTTTGGGCGAACAAATTGTAAAATGGGCGGGGAGATGGGTTATCCATGGACTTTTCTTGGGCTTTGGATGGGCTGAATTCACTGCATATGCATGATCTAGCCAATCAGATGCTAGAATCAAGATATTCCGTTTTAATGTCGACTGCTACGGTGATCTCTGTTTACAATATCTGTTTGCTACGGCGTCGATACGTCGACAGTTCTCTCACTAAGAAGGTATGTCGATCTCTTCCTCCTGAAGCTATTCCCCTGAAGCCCTTCATCCAATTTTGAACCTACTATCAAGTTGTCATCCTGATCATGTCGCAAAGCCAGGAGTTTAGATTCTCCCAGTTGGGCCTGTTCGACACTGAGCCCGACAATTCGTCAATTGCTACGCCTTCTCTTTGCCCAGCTACTCCGTCCACCTCTCGGCAGGTTGATAGCTTCTCGTTCGTTGAGCCGTCTGTTCCTTCGTCTATCGCCCTAGATCCCCTTGAACGCTTCCAACGTGTCGGTCCTGGTAGGAGAGGAGGCCAGTTTTTCCTTTACGACGCGATGAATCACACTGATTGGGTCAACTGGTGGTTGGAGACTGACTATGGATCTAAAAACAAGATCGCTTGGGAGTCACAGCATGGCTCCGCTTCGGAGACCTGGAAACAGTTTGAGCAAGTGGCCCATACGGCGACTGGAAACCCAAAGGTCTTGTGTAAGCGTTGCGATGCAATTCTTGAGCACCCTTATACTACTAAGAAGGATGCCAATGGGAGGGTTGGTCGTCATGGCACGACAACAATTACCCGTCATCTTCAGACCTCAGCCTGCCAAAAGGCTACAAGTGGACGCCGGCAGAGGGCTGAATTGACGAGGTTCCTTCAAACGGTATACTATCATACCTAGCTCTACTAGACCCTACTAACTAGCATCATGATCAGGGTAGTCATAGCCAGACATTCTCGCAAGAAGGTTTTGAGAGTAAAATCTTGGAGTTTATTACTACTAACCGGCTTCCATTCCAAATCGTTGAAAATCCAGCATTTCGTGAGCTCATCGCAGAGGTAAGTCCGTCAGACGCCAGTCCGTAGGCGTCAAATCGCCCAAATCCTCCAAATCCGCCGTCTTTACCAATCAGCCTCTATTTGCCTCGTCACCTAACTAAATCTTAAGTCTTGAATCTAGGCACAATCCGCCCTAAGCCCTCCGATCGTGCCCTCCGCTGATACAATTCGACGTCGCCTGTCTGGCCGTGTTAAAGAACGACAGCATGATACACTCAGAATGCTTCCAGAACATGCAAAGATCTCGATTGCGTTAGACTGTTGGACATCTCCATTTCAGCAGGCATTTATGGCTATTACTGGCTATTTCATCGATGCCGAATGGGTCTACCGTGAGGTGCTACTCGGCTTTAAACCCCTTCATAGTTCGCATACAGGTGCAAACCTAAGTGCTATTCTGATGGAGACGCTTACCGAACATGGCATTAAGGACCGAGTCTTTGGAATAACCACCGATAACGCATCGAATAATGAGACTCTGGTTAAGGCACTACAACAGTCTTTACAACAAGAGCCTTCGGCTTCGGCTACTGGTTTTAACGTCATCCGGGTCCCCTGTCTCGCTCATGTCATCCAATTAAGTCTGAACCAACTACTTCACCGACTTAAAGCACGCCCAAAGAATGAACAAGCCGAGACTGTCTGGACAGAGGAACAACAGATTAGCCTTGCTAAGGCGAATGCGGAGGCCAGGTCTAAGAAACGGGACATTGCGCATACCTTAGAGGATACGATCTCTTGCTGTTTATATCCGCGGGAGCCCTCAGCGTCGAGATCACTTCCTCAAAGTCCAACACGACCTCGACAAAGGCCAAGGCAAAGTTCCAGGGCAAGGACTTATGCCGATCCAGGACGTCAAAACTCGATGGAATTCAACGTTTCTGATGCTACGCCGGGCGAAGAGGCTCCGTACTGCTATCAATGAATACTGTCGTCAGTTCAACTGTACAGAATTCGAACTTGATGATGAACAATGGCGCCAAATTGACTATCTGATCTATCTCACAAAGCCATTCTTTGACTTTACGCTCGCCCTTTCGAAGACACGAGAGGCGACGTCGTTTCTTGTCTTCAGGATCTATAACCAGCTCTTTGAACACCTTGAGAAGTGCAAGTCGCAGCTACAACGAAAACGTGTTCCATGGAAACAGCAGATGCTTACCTCCCTCGGAGCAAGCCATTCAAAACTGTCGGAGTACTATAAGAAGACGGATCATATGCGCGGGCATATCTATGCGGTTTGTACGATGCTATCGCCGGATAGTAGATTCCAGTTCTTTTTATCTGATAACTGGGAGGATGCCAAAGAGATCCGTGAGCAGTATCGAGTGGCTTTCCGTGAGGCACTTACTCCTATCCAGGAGCGTCTTACTACTTTAAATAGCCCGCAAGTGTCTTCCTCTGGATCGATGCCAAGATCCTTCCTTCTTGGCCTGATGGCTCCCCCCGAAGTCTCTCTCCAAACGCAAAGGCAAAGCTGGTAAAGCAACGCTAGGCCCGACTAAAGATGATGAGATGACGCAGTATCTCGACGGCAGTAAGTTAATCTCTATGTTTATTCTTTCTTGAGAGATGGTTTTTCGGCCGAAAAACCATCCCTATCTTCATGATACTAATTTCTTACAGGTTTAACTATATCTGATGAGCCGCTCTCCTTTTGGAGAGAGAATCAATATCGCTTCCCTGCTATTGCCGCACTTGCAAGAGATTACCTTGCAATTCCAGCCACAGGTGCTGGAGTTGAACGTCTGTTTAACACTGCACGCGATATCTGCCACTATCGCCGGGGCTCTTTGAAGGCGCAAACTATCGAAGAGCTGATGTTGTACCTCTGTACGTCAAGGTTTGATCTTGAAGTGCAAGAGGCGAAGGAATTTGAGCAGTTCTTTGGCTCTGATGAGATTCAGATCCTGGTGGAGGAGGCTCAGGCGGCTCAAAAGCCAGGTGATGATGCCGAGGAGCCAGCTGAGGTGCTAGCTGTCGTCGACGTTGATGCGATCAGTGATGCTGAAGAGCAGGGTGATAGATCCGGTGATCTGATAGATGTTGACGATGACGATGACGATGCTACTATCGCTGCGGCACCGTCTCATGCGGCACCGTCTCATGCGGCACCGTCTCAAGTGCGGACATCAGGGAGGAAGAGGAGGCATGTTGAGGATGATTTGTATGAGCATTATTAGCATGTAGATAGTTTTACCTCTTGGGATCTAATCAATCGATCTCATCAGTTGATCTCATCAGTTAATCTCATCAATCTCATAAATCAGTGAATTGCGTCGATTTCCATGAGATCTCAGTCAATTAGGGGCCTCAGGTGGTAATTGTAATACTCAAAATTACTAGGAAGGTCTACATAACTTATGCAAATGCCAAGAATTGGCATGTTTGCAATGTTTGGGGCCCATTTGGGGGCCCATTAAACCATATTGGGCTTCTACCTTAGGCCCATAGCCTACCAGTGGGCCTAATGCCAGGCCCAAAACCCGCCCCATTTATGGGCTGGGGTGGGTTGGGCTATGGGCTTTGTGGGCCGGTGCGGAGGTCTAATCTTGCTTGCCCCGGCAATCAGTGCAGAGGTGGTCGCCGGTCCCCCGGACTCATTTAGGTTGACCAGAGCAGGTCCGTCCTATGTGGCCATACTTTTGACGTGTGTGGCATTGACGGATGCGAGCAGCCCGATCATCTGACCTTGGTGACGACCGATGAGTCTCAATTTGTGTTGGCATCAATAGCTCGATTCGGGAGACGAATCAACGATTATGAAGCCCGACTTTTTGGCTTCAGGAAGCACCAGCCATGTCGCCCTTTTAATGCTTCTACTTAGGAAAGCACTTTCCCCGGTCGGGCTTCATTGTTTGCAGTGGTCGAGATTCGCATTGTGTGTGAAGGTCTTGCTTACTATCACGGTTTTCTTGATGATTTGTGGGGCGTCCCAGTCCGGGTTGTCGAGCAGGTCCTGGGTCAGCTCCTTGATAGTTTTGAGATACTGGAGTATCTCCTTTGGGATCTCGATCAATCCATCACTGCTGATGAAGTTCTGCTGCTGCTGCACGGCGTGATTTGCGTTAAGGATGCGCCTGGCGTTGGATGTGGTCTTGCTTGCAGATTTTTCGTGCGGCCCCCTGAAAGGGTCGGCCAGGCGCCATACTATCGTAACCAATATGAAACCCGTATCAGACGTAGAACCTCAAGTTACGAACAACTTGCGCTTATTTTGGAAGCCGTAGCTCCTCGCATTGTGGTGCAATCTCAATAATTAACTTCGCGGCGGTAGACTTTTTTTATTAAACCGCCTTTATATATCTAATTTCTTATATAGTTTTTCCCTTATGAAATTACCTTTATCTCTCCTATATATGTCGTCATCGAGTATCGTAATCATTTCTTACTGAAGTATATTACGTGTTTACTCTATATCTGCCCTATAATAGTTACATCCCCTTCCATATGCCCCTTCCCACCACTTTTTTCGGGGCCCCATGCCAAATATATATATCACTTTCACAGTATATAGCACCGCCATTGTATGTTCTATATTATTATAATTAAATTCGAGGATTTCTTAATAATAGCACAATGAAAATTCGCCTAATATTTCGCATAATACTCTGTAGTCTTCCGTACTGTACTGCCTTTAAACGTCTAGTGATGCTTAATATCAGCGCATATATTTTCGACAGATCTAATATGTTCTATGCTTCTACCAGGCATTTTTCACACAAAAGCTAGTTGGTCTTCAATCTTCCCATGCTAAAATGCACCGGAAAGTAATGCAAAAAGCTTCACTCTTAACCAGCGCTATACCGGTCCAATTAGGTTTAAATCGGGTGAGTGCGCGGGCTAGCCCTCGACGTGTACTCAGATTTAAACCACTTTTTCGTGTCCTTCATTAGGAGAATCTTCGCGTTATATTGCTAAAATAATATACCGGGTATATAGATTGGTAATAGGCCTTTTGGAGCCTTCCGTATACGATTTTGTAGTTTAGCCCCTCCCCGAAATCGATTCTTCGTCGCTTTCTATGTTTAATAATTCTGTTCGACCTCCTAGCTAGATTCCAGCCTAAACTATTCATGAAATGCCTTTTACATAAGCATTGGTATTCACAAATTAAGATCTTTTCAAAGGTCCTCCGAGGTCGTACGGAAGCACTATTATGGCCTAAAGTTCGAGGTTCGATATACCGACCACTCGTCCGAAAAGATCCACGATTGGAAGTTTTCGCGTCGCTATTTTCGCCCAAATCTTAGCCTCTCTCTTGTAAGGGGAGGCTTAATTAGAATCTACTGTTTCGATCGACATTTCCCGAGTCCGAATCGCCTTAGAAAAACTCGACGTGTAGTAGAGTTAGGGATACTAAGCTATAGTAGCACCTAACTGTTTATAAGTTAGGTCTAAAACGGATGCCGACGTGCCTGTAAATTGAGATAATGGGAAGCGCGCTCACCTTGGAATTACGGGACGCCCAATTTTTTTCCCCCCAATTTTCGAGCTTTTCGCCTTCTGAATAGCGCTTAAGTGTATTGTAGATTGATTGTACGCCGAGAGCAGCCGAAGTCACTAGCTAATTGCACCTACGTAGCACTGTTCTCGTGGGAATAGAGCGTAGATAGCTGCGCCATTTTGCTATTTTTTTGGTCCTATTTTCATTATTATCGGAACAATAGGCCCTAGGAGGGGTGTAAGAAAATAAAATGGTGGGTTGTTGTTGGGCCAATACAGTGGGGCGGAGTGGGAAGAAATATTTGACTAGTATCTATCTGTATCATGATACAAACTATCATCTTGAACTGATTTCTTACCGAATACTTCTTATGAATTCCATAGAAAAGAGTAGGCTAGCGAAGGAACTTCCAGCTACTACTTCTACATATTAATCCTATAACCTCATAGGTCTAACTTACTTTCCTCCTATACTGACGGCGCTTACGCGCCGCGCCGTCCACACTGTTTGGATTTTGGAACCTATAATGATTTATAGTATTCTGTTATTATGAAAGACCTAATAGTATAAAGATGAACAAGTAATCACAGGAAATATAATAAATTTGATAAACAGTAAAAACCTCGCCTTTTAAAAATGAGATGCTAAACATCAGTGTAAATTACCTAACTACATTATATTAAAGCTCGTCTTATCTTACCTGGGGATGTCTACAATTTAGAATTTAGAAATCGTAATTCAAATAGCTAACTGTCAATATCTATATAGCTTAGGCACTTAACCTCTGCTTTAAAAAAGTGCTGTGTTATAGTTATCAATAAATTTAACACTTGTATAATTTAGTATTAATAAATATTATATATTATTTAGTTAGTAATGTAGCAAAAGTATTAGATAGTATATAAAGATACTGAAAATATCATATATGATAGCTAATAGCTATATTATTAGATTTATTATTATTAACGCTGTATATATTATAACTACTCTTATCGGCGAATTATAATATATCTAGTCTAGCCACATAAGACCCCGTATTAAAACCTTTAAACGTATATAAAAGTAAAAGTAATAGAATATAGAGAACTAAATAATACATTAAAACAATAGATAAATAATAATAGAAGTCAAAAGGCCATATATACCTGAGGGGAGATAGCGGTACTAGCTAATATATATAAGGGTTTATAGTAGCTTATCTTCTTTTAGTTAAAGTATCTTCAGTTAACACTTGCCTTATTATATTAGCTTATATTAACCATTCTTCTAAAGGGGTCTTGAAAGAGGTACAAAACAATTTAATCTAGGGTCCTTTATTATAGAGTATTTTATACGTATTCAAGGTAGGTAGAAATGTATGAATATATATACTAAAACATAGATTACTTGATTACTAGAAAAACCTACTTTAAATAACTGATATATAATAATAATTATCATATAAATTGTTGACCTCTATAATGATACTAAATTAACATTTCAATTATAGAAAGGGGTACTTTAAAATATACCTTGTTATTTCGATCTCTTAAATACTTTAATTAAACTCTTATTATATTCGAAGTAAAGTAAAACTAAAATACTAAGTATATGAAAACACATCAAATTAACGTACGTAAAATAGCCTAGACAGCAATAGACCTTAGTAAACAGAATTTTGTACCACTATTAATATCATAAAAGCTATAAAAATAGCCCCTAGATTTATATCTAATATAGTAAAATTATAGATATTATACATTAGATAGCTATTAGGTCATAATTACTCTGAAAAGGCAAGCGGTAAAGGATACCCTCATTAAAAATATCCCTAAAATATATTCTAATTACTTAAAGGGCCTATTTCTTAATATTTAGACCCATCTCTGCCTATCTAACCCCAACTAGGCCAGGAGTAATATTAATATTCCTAATGTTTACCTAATATCCACGGTATAGGTACAAAGAGCCTTGGAAATTCAGTTAGTCTAAGGGTTATGGGGAAGTAATATGTAAACCAAGGGGGTCTATAGGAGGGTAGCTAGAAGAAGATATCTTTGTGAGTTGAGTACGTGCAGGCTAAGTCGAAAGGGCACTTTATACTCCGCTAGGTTTAATCAGGGTTGGTTAGGTAAATAGGGAGGGGATCCGAATAATAGGAATTAGAGGGCCCTTTAAAATAGCCCTACAAATTTAAATAACCCTAGGAGTAAGTAGGAATTTAAGAATCTAATATTGTAGTTTAGCAAGAATAATATATCATTTAAAGGTCTAAATAATAATAAAAAATTTCGTAATTATTTATAAGAAAAATAAGCGAAGTTATGAAAACGTACTTTATTATTGGAAGTTTATATAATAAATATCTAATTACCTAACGTTATCGTATTCTTTTTACAACAGCGAGATATGGAATTAAAAAGGGGGTAGATAATATCTAAGTGCCAAATTAAATTTAAGCTAATGGGGCTGATATTTAGTAAATACTGTAGAGCGAGTATCTATATAGCATCTCCAAGTGCTTTAAAGCGACCGAGTGACTAATTGTTAGATTTGAGTTCATTCGCAATGTAGGGCGCGTCCTGAACTTGGATCTTACTTTATTCTTTTGGTTTGTACCCGAACTGTCACACCGATCTAGCTACTAGCTAAGTCAGCCTTACAAAGACTATAATTAGATAGAGTACCAACCATATTTAATTACCACTCTTTCATATACAAATAAAACTTTGATATTTTCTTAGAGTTTTATTTTAGAAGTTATAATCTTCCCTACCAATGTATATATCCTTGGAGCAACTTATTTGTTATATTTAAATATCTAACCTTTTGCTCTACTGAGAAATAACGGTAATTATTACGCTACACTTAATTTTAAACGTAATAACTTCGATAAATAAGCTATAGTTTCATTATATTTATAAAAGGCATATTAATAATATATTATTAATTATAAGGATATAATAAAGCGTTAAACGTAATACGATTATGAGATCTAATATATATCTCAAAGATAGCTTTTAGATCCTCGTGTTTAGAAGTTTTCTATGAGAAATGTACTTCATAAATTAGATAAATTAGACAATTTTGATAGGATTTCCTCTACTTATGTGTTATAACTCTTATAGCTACTTACATGAATATTACTTATAATCTATAAAGTACTATATCCAATACTGAATTAATAATCAAGACTATATCTAGACTTAAATTAGGGACAGATATCATAGTTAACTAAAAGTTTAACTAGATACTCTCTTCCTTCTATATATCATGACTAGTAATCAAAGGAGTATAGTATGTATGTAACAGCTCATAGTGTTTAATTTAGGATTATACAATTAAGTTTAGCTTTTAAGAATTTCAAGGACCCAAATAGAACTAGATACTATTTCAACTGGTATAGATATACAATATGTACAATACTAGCTATTCCGATATTAATATTAGCTTAAATAGATATCCAGGTTAAAACAATGGAGTAAATATTTGAATATTCAAAGTATTACTAAGTAGTATTTGATTTTATATTTCCTAGTTCCTTAACAATTTAGTTAAAAGTAAAGTCTGATACGGGATTTGAAAAAAAAATAGGGATAACTACTGAAATAGAACAAAACAGTCCCAATATTATATGGTAAAAGAAGATCTTTATCACAAGCATCTGATCCTCTGATATAGATTTAAAACACAGAGGTTTAATTGATCAAAATACACAGAATTCTATAAATGGTAGACAAGTAACCAATAAATTAATCAATGAAACTTGACAAACAATTATTGAAATCGATAATAAGAAAGAAACAATGGAAGA